ATTAGGCTTCTTTAGCTATCCTTCGCGTTTTCTAGTATTCTCTTCTCATTTTCTATCAATAGCTCGGACTCGTGCTGGCTATAGGTGTAGCTTGATCGGCATGATTCTCTCACTAACATAACAAGCCTAGGTGTCTGTGGTTGTCGGCTATCGCTCCCAGCACCTGGGTTGTCCTGATTAAGTTATCCCGAAGGGATATTCTTTTCATATACAATGTATATATATATATATATACTAGTACATGTATATATACAATACATGTGTTGACTCATTAATCCCATGAATCTGTCGCTGATAGATTTATTGCTCTTTTTCAGATCACGATAGCTATTGCGTCCAAGAAATAGAATTAGGGTAAATATTCCAACTCGCTAGAATGGTTTTCAGCTTTTCTGTGATAAAATTTTATGGCTTAAAGCTAACTTCAAAACTACGCCACACTCTGATAAAACATGTAAATTAGGCTTGATACTAGTTTAAAAGTTTACAATAAAGAAAGTGACCCAAGAGCCCCGACTTTTCATCTCGTAACTAAAACACTTGGTGTTACGATATTAATTTATTTATTTACAACATTGACCGTCTACGGCGAAAAACAGTCATAGATGTTATCACAGCACTGAAAGCATACAACACGTATGCGAACATCACAATGACGATCATAAATGGACTCAGACGATCCCACATTGCCTGTCACTCCACTCGTCCTCACCCATCGTTTGCCGGGAACCACGTCGGAAGAAAAACCAACAGTATTTATGCTTGTGAAGTTAACAGTCAACTGAAAATGGCAGCAATTTCACCCGAATTTCTTTGCGCAGTTTGTACGGATGCGTAATCATGATAAATTTCTCGATAGATTATTTTTTTTACAATTTACCACATGGTAACTTTGCGCTGACGCAACGAGCAACTCTGGCAGATTGACTCTTCTCCCTAGAAGGGACGGAATCCCTTCCTCCGGTATTCTCGTAGGGCGACGGCTCCAACCACCAATAGAGTGAAGNTCCGACGCCGACGGCAACCCACGATCCGATTGCGACTGCTCTTTGAGGCATGATCACCTTGTTGTAGAGGTCGTCGGCCAACTCCTGGCTCAGGGATGCGCTCTGAAACGAATGGGACGCTGTTACTCCGGGTTCTGCGATTTCTTCTCGAAGTCAGGGTAGAATTTGCTGGCACTCGAAATTCGCGGAGAGCTTCAAAAGGAAGTAGTTCCGGGCGATAAAGTGCTCATAATATCAGCCGCGTGATATTCAGTTTTAAGCGAAAAAACTTTGCTGGCTTCTTGGGCGAAAGATTATTAATTTTGATCGTACAATCGAGAATCATCAATATGTTGCTCAGAGATAAAAGCCGGGATGAATACCTCATTGACCCACAATATCGGGAAAATCATCTGTGAAACATTCTGGAAACTTGGGTATTTGTCGATCGGTTTCAAATTGAGGTTCACTTGGAGTTTCTTGGCGGCATTCAAGATAATCCCGGTCAACTGCAAGAGGAAACAGACGATAAGCATGAGCATCTCCAAAATAATTCACGATAATGATATTGCATTCGTGATGAACGCAACTAGCAAAAAGAGTGACGAAACGCCAAGAGACCCTTCCGGGAGGAAAAAAAGAGTAAGAATCGTATGGGATCACACCCTTGATAAGCAAACAATCACGACTGCGTGGATCATGGTTCGCCTGCTAAGATATGATTCACCTGCAGATTTTTCTTTAATGCCATGGCATTAAAAAACATTTTAAAAAAATATGCATCAGCGCTCCAGTGGCTTTTCGGTCGAGGCCGAAGAGACGGCACCCTTCCTTGTCCTGTGACTATAACTGAAACACGAGCTTCGCTTCTCGTATAGCTCGTATAGCTCAGATCTAGCCACTTGTGACTTCTGGCTGTTTCCTTGTTGAACAGTTGGCTTGACGAAATTTCAGTCGCATTCGAGATCTGTCCAAAGCTTTACTTTCAGAGTTGTGGAAGATACCCAAAGAAGCATATGCCAACGCCTTTCAGAAGTGACTTCACCACTTGGGTCGGTGTGTGCAATCACAGGGTGAATATTTCGAAGGACTGCAGCATTAACATTTCGGAAACACCGTGTATGCTGTAAATAAAATTCTAATTTCAAGAACTTTTCGAACTCCCCTCGCACCATACGTAGGTCCAATGAGGATTTACATCTGGCAAGTTGCCAAATCTCACAACTCAAATCCGAACCGTGAACGTGAGACGTATATGAGAGGCAGGTCCTCACCGGCTCGATGTCGATGAAAGTCTGGTGATTGTTTCCATCCGGTGCCATTCCCTCAATCACCGATGTGTTGTAGTATTCTTCCGATCCCGAGTAGAAGTGCGGCGTGGACATCACCACTGGCACACCTGAATATAAACATTATTGGCAACATATGACTGCACAAGGAGCTCGATCCAGAGACGTACTTCAATAGGGTTTTAACGTGCTCGGTTCTTACCGAGACATGCGGAGACGTCCAAAACTCCGGCTTTCAAGCATGTTCCATCCGATAAACAAAAGCACTTATTGGCCAGGTTAATTGCTGGGTCTTCGAGAACGTCAGGATCGACAATGAATCGAAGTCCTGGTACCCCCAGGAATTCCACGTCCTGCTCGTACGTGAAGTACACCGACCTGGGAGTTGAAAAATCATTGAATTGCAAAGCGTGTGCCTTCCCTGGAGAGTGTACTGTACAAACATTCAAAGAAATCGGTAAATCGAAATGATACACTTCGGTCAATTTCCGCATTTTGATTTGATTTTATTTTTTCCAAGAGGATAAGCATCAACTGCCCAAGTAACACATGAACGTTCAGTAAGACGTTCAACTCTGGCTCAAAGAGGTTCTTTGACGTTCAAGGTTCAGGGATGAGCAGGACGTGGAATTCCTGGGGGTACCAGGACTTCGATTCATTGTCGATCCTGACGTTCTCGAAGACCCAGCAATTAACCTGGCCAATAAGTGCTTTTGTTTATCGGATGGAACATGCTTGAAAGCCGGAGTTTTGGACGTCTCCGCATGTCTCGGTAAGAACCGAGCACGTTAAAACCCTATTGAAGTACGTCTCTGGATCGAGCTCCTTGTGCAGTCATATGTTGCCAATAATGTTTATATTCAGGTGTGCCAGTGGTGATGTCCACGCCGCACTTCTACTCGGGATCGGAAGAATACTACAACACATCGGTGATTGAGGGAATGGCACCGGATGGAAACAATCACCAGACTTTCATCGACATCGAGCCGGTGAGGACCTGCCTCTCATATACGTCTCACGTTCACGGTTCGGATTTGAGTTGTGAGATTTGGCAACTTGCCAGATGTAAATCCTCATTGGACCTACGTATGGTGCGAGGGGAGTTCGAAAAGTTCTTGAAATTAGAATTTTATTTACAGCATACACGGTGTTTCCGAAATGTTAATGCTGCAGTCCTTCGAAATATTCACCCTGTGATTGCACACAACGACCCAAGTGGTGAAGTCACTTCTGAAAGGCGTCGGCATATGCTTCTTTGGGTATCTTCCACAATTCTGAAAGAAAAGCTATGGACAGACCTCGAACGCGACTGAAATTTCTTCAAGCCAACTGTTCAACAAGGAAACAGACAGAAGTCACAAGGGGCTAGATCTGAGCTATACGAGCTATACGAGAAGCGAAGCTCGTGTTTCAGTTATAGGCACAGGACAAGGAAGGGTGCCGGCTCTTCTGCCTCGACCGAAAAGCCACTGGAGCGCTTATGCATATTTTTAAAAATGTTTTTTATTGCCATGGCATTAAAGAAATATTTGCAGATGAATCATATCTTAGCAGGCGAACCATGATCCACGCAGTCATGATTGTTTGTTTTTCAAGGGTGTGATCCTACACGATTCTTACACTTTTTTTTCCCACGGAAGGTTCATGGCTTTTCGTTACTCTTTTTCATTGCGTTCATCACGAATGCAATATCATTGATTATCGTGAATTATTTTGGAGATGCTCATGCTTATCGTCTGTTTCCTCTTGTAGTTGACCGGGATTATCTTGAATGCCGCCAAGAAACTCCAAGTGAACCTCAATTTGAAACCGATCGACAATTACCCAAGTTTCCAGAATGTGTCACAGATGATTTTCCCGATATTCTGGGTCAATGAGGTATTCATCCCGGCTTTTATCTCTGAGCAACATATTGATGATTCCCGATTGTACGATCAAATTAATTGTCTTTCGCCCAAGAAGCCAGCAAAGTTTTTTCGCTTAAAACTAAATATCACGCGGTTGATATTATGAGCACTTTATCGCCTGGAACTTCTTTTTGAAGCTCTCCGCGAATTTCGAATGCCAGCAAATTCTACCCCGACAGCTTCGAGAAGAAATCACAGAACCCGAAGTAACAGCGTCCCATTCGTTTCAGAGCGCATCCCTGAGCCAGGAGTTGGCCGACGACCTCTACAACAAGGTGATCATGCCTCAAAGAGCAGTCGCAATCGGATCGTGGGTTGCCGTCGGCGTCGGACTCTTCACTCTATTGGTGGTTGGAGCCGTCGCCCTACGAGAATACCGGAGGAAGGGATTCCGTCCCTTCTAGGGAGAAGAGTCAATCTGCCAGAGTTGCTCGTTGCGTCAGCGCAAAGTTACCACATGGTGAATTGTACAAAAAAAATATATCGAGAAATTTATAATGATTACGCATCCGTACAAACTGCGCAAAGAAATTCGGGTGAAATTGCTGCCATTTTCAGTTAACTGTTAACTTCACAAGCATAAATACTGTTTGTTTTTCTTCCGACGTGGTTCCCGGCACACGATGGGTGAGGACGAGTGGAGTGACACAAGCAATGTGGGATCATCCGGGGAGTCCATTTATGATCGTCATTGTGATGTTCGCATACGTGTTGTATGCTTTTAGTGCTGTGATAACATCTATGACTGTTTTTCGCCGTAGACGGTCAATGTTGTTAATAAATAAATAAATATCGTAACACCAAGTGTTTTAGTTACGAGGTGAAAAGTCGGGGCAGAACCCAGTGAAAGAAATAACATGTGAAAATTTGATCGGAGTTCGGATTAAATGTACAAAATAGTCTCACACCGCATCAAAACTTCAATCGAAATTCTGTATTTTTTTTTTACCACAGAAAAGCTGAAAACCATTCTAGTGAGTTGGAATATTTACTTTCTTGGACGCAATAGTTATCGTGATCTGAAAAAGAGCAAGAAATCTATCAGCGACAGATTCATGGGATTAATGAGTCAACACATGTATAGTATATATACATTAATTAAATATATTGGCTAAATAGGCAACTACTTGGCTGTGCAGTAAACTGGCCTCAACCAAGGCACGGAGAGAGAGCAAAATATGTTACTTTTTTATGCCGATTCTGGCCGAAAACATCCAAGGGCAGCAGAAATGTCCAGCTTCTTAACCCAGAAACACAGAACAGAGAGACCAAAATCTAAANAAAGGAAGCCAATGTGCCATCGATCATGTTGGAATGGTTTCTAAGCAGGATGAGAAAACATTATTAAAACATTGGCGAAGGAATGAAATATTTGAGACCTCTTAATGGTACAGTCGGAGTCAAACCACCGGATCGGGTTCTGCAGTCCAAGGAGAAATCGGGAGTTCTTCCCTACTGTTCGGTAGTAACGAATTGGGTCGCGAAAATATGCGCATGGTATGTATGCCCTCGTATTGTCCCAGTATCGTATGCCAAACCTATTTTCACGCTTGGAGCGTGCCATACATACGAAGGGGATAAGAATCAAGCTGGATGCTTAATTGGAGGTGCACAGTTCGATGTATGGTGAGTAACCGGACAAGTAACTGGTTTTCGGGAAGAGAGTAGAGAGTGATTGCGAATGGAGAAAAGTCAATGGAAGTTGGAGTGACGAGCGGAGTCCCCAGGGAGATGTCCTGGGCTGGCTTCTATATCAAGTGCATATCAACGATTTAGATTTAGATGTAGATTAGCGATTCCCTAACTTTCGTCCTTGAGTACCACTTGCTTCCGGGGAGCATATGTCGTGCACCACAGTTTGGGAAACGCTGATTTGGAAGAAAAAAATCAGCAAATTTGCCGAAGATACGAAAATAGGTTTCTACGTCAGGGGGTGGACAGGGCAAGAACCGAGATGGATTTACAGCTTCTGGACGAGTGGCATAAAAATGGCTCATGGAGTTCTGGGTGCATTTCATCGTAAGAGGGAATCCACGAAAGAATGGCTATATTTGCTTTTTACAGTCTTTTGCCGTTTCATACTCCCGGGCGAAAGTCTCTTGACAGTTTTTGTCTCCTGTCATATGCCGATGTATTTCGTGTATTCCGGGGATTTGAATACACTCTTGGTACCATGTGTTATTCTCGAATGGGGAGAGGGAAAGCAGCAGGCTCTCCAATCTCGCTGATTTTACAATTATAAAGGTAACAGAGATGGGAAAGAGTCTAATGGCTTTCGTCCGGCAAAAACCAGTGCATGAGAAAAGAATAGGCGAGAGTTAAGATAATCGAACAAGTTTTCATGGGTCACCAGGGGACAAACTTTTGAACTCTTGCGATGGTTCAACTATCTTTTACATCCATCAAAACTAAGAATATCTCAGTTCCACCTGAAAATGGAGTTTATCTCTTACTTTAATTGAAAGCGGCCGAAAGTTGTGGTGCCTGTCTCCTCTAATGTGTGAGGCCTACGATGTTATGCCAGGCCAGGCCATCCACGGCCTAAAGCGCCAGGCCTATGGCTCTTAATATATGGCTTAATAAATGGCCCAATGGCTTAATATATTAAGTTATAAAATTTGAAAGAGGCCGATACGCGGTTGTGAATGGTTGTCACTTGTCCGCAGCCTTACAAGCGAGGCCTACAAGGTTATGCCATTCTTGGCCATAGGCTAGGTTATAAAACTTCAGTATCGAGGTTTGTTGGAAAATTTGTCGTTTCGTTTAAACGAAAATGCTTCCTATCTTTGTGTAAACATTTTTAAATCTCCGCTAATTTGACGGCCAGCGTAGCGGCCGCGGGCCATTAGTATTTTTTGGCTTAAAAAAAGGGAGGTGTATTATGGCTTTAGTTACGTAAGTAAAACACATTTACTTATCATATCTAGTAATGATCACATAACCTCTTCAGGGATACTGGCACAAATATTGACGTTCGATTTAATGCACTTGAAAATGGTCAAAAACTGATCCCCCAACTACACAAATGCCACAGATACTGCCAATTTGTTGGGAGTTTTCATTACCGTTGGTATCACTGCTCCCCCAGCTCACTAAGTACTCTGGACTCTACACAAAGTAATCTACACCTGTAATATATATATATATAATATTCATAAAAGAAACAAATTCATCCTTGAAGAGGTTAAAGAATTAGGAGATATAAGAAATGGGGCTTTCACGTGATGTTTTGTGTCTGCGCAATGCACCAAATGATGGTGTCATTGCTGGACTCAGCTAATAAAAAAGAAACAAATGGCTGATGTGCCTCTCCATTCATGTACCTCCGGTTTTCACCGGATGGAATCTTGCATAATCTTATTTAACGATCGGTAAAAAAAATACAATCATACAGTTGAGGTCCAATTGACGTCTCAGTTAAATTTTTTCTTCAGGTGCTCATTTTACCTCATCAATGCAAGTTAATTAAACTAATTCGGCTATGTTTATTACAATCCTTCCATTTGCTTCACTCATCGACGAGCATCGGATCTTTTCCGGTACAACGAAGCAATCTGAGCAGCCCAGTCCCAGGTCTCCGCAACTGTTAAAGCTGTTGGGTGCATTGAACCACAACGACTGGTGTGAAAATGTTTAGCGTCCAAGCGACTGGACCTTAAGAATCCCCAAAAACTGCAACATGCATGCATAATGCTGATAATTACAGATGAGCAGAATAGCTTCTCTAACCTCCTAATCATAATAACTCACGACACCTTGTGCGTTTGCTTTGAATTTTCTTGACCCTAGATAATAGCTATGCTTAGCATGTTCTCTTGATAGAATTTACTCACAACATTCAAAGAGCATGTTAATTAACTAGGAAAAGGTAACTAAATCCGTTCCTAAATATTGCGAAAGATGAGATGCTTCACTCGTGCAGCTGAACGGGACAAGCGATGGCAAATACATGGTCGGCACCGGCAGAAACGGGCCAGAAGACTTCGCTGACATCAAGCTCTTTCGAGGGTTTCCATATCTCGAGAAGTTACCATGGGGGACAGACGAGTGCAACATGATCAATGGCACTGACGGCACGGTATTTTCTCCCTTCATAGACGAAAGCTCCGTCTTATACGTCTTCAACGCAGAACTGTGCAGGTGAATGAATCGACGTCCTTCCGCTCACAGAATGTTCAGCGCATCAAATTGATGCGTTTTTGTCGTGAAAAAATCTGTCATCCATATGATGAGTCTTTAATCATCAAATCGCATCAAATATTCGATGCGATTAAAATGCATCACTTGGAGGACAAATTTTTTCACGACAAAAATACATCAATTTGATTCTGAGTGCGTGTAATGCATCTCGGTCTCGTACTCAATACCATAACCATTCTCCGCTGCCCTCCCCCTACCCGAGGGGGGGGGGGGAGGGGGGGGGGGATTAGAATTCAATCCGAAGACAATTGGAGATCACTCGTCAGAACAGATCCGTATGTCGCCAACAGAAAGGGCACAAGTTTCGATCCATATACAGGGTGTCCCATAAGTCACTTTACCATTTCAATTTGCAATATTTTCCAAACTGCAACAAGCATGTCACTTGGCATTGATAGAAAGAATATCCTTCAGAACTTTTTTTCTCGATAATAACGGTATCAGACTTAAAAGGAAACTGTTTCGA